GTGAGAAGGGAGCAGCAGAAGGAAGAAGGAAGCAAGGGTCTGGATGAGAAGTACATGAGGCCCAGCCGCGGGCCAGGAACCCCTGGCAGAGGGGGAACGAAGCAGGAAAGCTGTGGTGACCAGCCAGAGAAACAAAACACAAAATATGCAGAAGCCATTTCCTCTCCCAAGGAAGATAAACAATAGATTCATAAACAAATTTTACAAAGCTGTCCAGCTATTTAAGAAGGGAGAGGGGTTAGGAGAGGATGATCTTCCTTCCCAGTCTTCCGGCTGGGCCTGTGACGACGGCCAGTTACCTATTCTCTTTGAGCCTTGGTTCAACTGTCTCTAAAAAAGGAATAACAGGGACCAGCAGTTAGCGTAATGGCTATGTCCCTGGACTCCCATGTAGTCGACCGCAGTTCGCATCCCGGACCCGGCGGCTTAAACTCACGCCAGGCGCGTGTGCGTGCGTGCCCAAGATCCCGAGAGGAAAATGGAGGAGAAGGGATTGCAGCGTTGCCATCCTCCCTGGGGGGTGATTTCTCTCTTTCTATCTCTCTGTCTCTCTCTGTCTTTCTGGCGAGCGCACGCACCCTATAGCGAAAACCTCTCCAAAAAAAAAAAAAAAAAAAAAAAGGAATAACAATTCCAGTCCAGCAGGGCAACTGTGGAGAAGAAAGATATGCTTTCTGCTATATGACAGACCAGAGAGCATACTCGAGTCTTCACTGAAACAGCTAACAAGCTGAATAAAACTGTAAATATAACGACTGTTTATGTGCTGCTGAGTTGGTACAAATACAGAGATTCTTCAAAGATACGAAAACAGAAGTTGGAACCTGGGAAGGTAACCTAGCCCCACACTGGCTTTCACCAGGAGGGCTCCTGCTCAACGCTGCAGACTTTAAGGGTCCCATTTAGAGATGCACAGGACACTCCCACAGAGTCCTGAGTCTGGTGGTTTGCTTCCTCGCTTCCTCTCACTCTCAGTCTCAGTCTCTCTCTGGTCAAATTGAAAAATAAATGAATGAATGAATAAAATTAAATAAATAATTATTTTTTTAAAAAGCCTAAGGAGATCCCTCCATAAAGTTGGATTTCATATGGCCCCATTCTTGATGCATGAGAAACACACACACACAACACACAGAAGAGGACTGCAGGGAAACCTGACCTTGGGCTGGGCAGAAGGGGGAAAAGATCTCTCCTGAAAATTTGTAACCAGAAGCTGGATTTCGTATGGGGTTGTAGTCTGAAGTATGTTGCTTGTGTGGACAGAAAAGTCTGAAGTAAAGGATTAATACACAAGTTATTTTGGATCACTTCACCTCCTAGACATCAAGCAGAAGTTAATGCAAATCCCTCTGGAAAAAACCAACCAACCCCAATATCAAATAATTCTGAAAGATAAAGTTCCAAGGAAAATGAGCAGCTCCCAGCAAATAAGGCACTGTGAGTACTAGCCAGCAGAAACAACAGATGGCAACAGCAGACCCACAAAGGCTTTTGATTCTGGAATTACCAGTCATGAAATTACGAAATTTTTAAACAGAGAATTCCATATTTTAAAGAAATAAGAGTCATCAAATATGAGCAAGAAATGAGAGGTTAGAAAAATCACCGAGCAGATTGGAAAAATAATAGACCAGAACTTCTGTAAATGACAAACAAAGCAAGTGAAAGTATAAAATTCAAATTCAATGGGGGATTAATTACATAGATGATAGATTTGATTTTTTTTTTTCCTGGAGAGCTTTTTGTTTGTTTGTTTGTTTTTGCTATAGAGTGTGTGCACTCACCAGGAATACAGAGACAGACAGACAGAAAGTGAGAAATCACCCCCCGGGGAGTGGATGGCCACACCACAATCCCTTCTCCTCCATTCTCCTCTTGGGATCTTGGGCATGCATGCACACATACCTGGTGTGAGTTTAAGCCACCGGATTCAGGACCTGAACTGTGGTCAACTACATAGGAGTCCAGCAACATAGCCATTACGCCAACTGCTGGTCCCTGAAGATATTATTTAGAGTTCAGCACAGAGAGACAAATGTTAAGAGACATAAAGAATAGAATGGGACAGTCTAACGTAAGTCTAACTGGGGGTCCAGAAGAGACACCAGATACCAGAGAGAATGGGGAAGTGGCAATATTCAAAGAAATGAAGGTAAGAATTTTTCAGAATTGTTGAAAGACATGATTCTTTAGTTCTAGGAATCCCAATGACACCCATGTAGAATAAGGTAAATTTGCACTCAGATAATGAAGTTGCAAAAGACCAAAGAAAACAACAATCTTGAGTGTAGCCAGAGAGAAATGTCTGATCACTTATGAAGGAACAAACATTAGACTGACAGCTGACTTCTCAACGGCACCATTCAGTGCCAGAGGCGGTGGAATAACAGTTTCAATAACCGAGAATATATCCAATAATGCTACTTTTATTGGATATATTCTCTTAGGTCACTGAGAGGAGAAAAAAATGAGAGAAAAATACTGAGAGCAAAAAAGACATTTTCAAACCAACAAAGACCAAAACACAAAAGTCTCTTGAGAGAATTTACCACTAAGAGATCGCCACTAGAGGAAAATGCTAAAGGATTTATTTCAAGCAGAAGGAAAATTATCCCAGATTCATAAAAGACTAGTGAGACAAGATATTGGTAAGTATGTGGGTAAATCTATACAAACACTGTAAAAAAAAATATAAAACAATGATACATAACTTACAGGGGAAAAAATAGGATAGATTAAAAAAACAAAGAAAACAATAGAATATAAATTGGGAAAGCTAGTGACTAGAATTAACCCAGTGTGTATGTTCTTGTATTATATGGAAGAAAGAGAAAGACACCGATTAATTCTAGACTTTAAGCATGTCTGAAAGCTGTAAAAACAGCTGGAGTAATAATCCACTGAAAGAACAGACACTGCAAATATAAATTCCACAAAAGAAGATGAAAAATGGAATGGGGGGAACCTCAACATAAAAGATCAGAAAAATGAAAAAGCATAGAAAGGTGGTAAAAACGAACCTGAAGTCATAAATAAGATACGCCAATTCTAACATCTATGTATCAAACAGCATCGCCGTAAAACATGTAAAGCAAACATTTCAGTACTGCAAGGAGCAACTGACAAATCGGTGGGAGGTTTAAGTACACCTCTCTCAATAATCGGTAGATTAATCAAAGTCAGAAAATGCTGTACTGTATTATAGATGACTCGAACGCACAATAAACTAACTTATTCGAATGGTCACATACAGAAAACTAGATCTAATAATTAAAGGATACACCTTTCTTTAAAGCACTCATGGAACATTTAGGGGGGAAAAAAGTTGAAAAGAAATAAAATGTAAAAAAGGAGCACACAGAAATAGCTCAATATGTACTTCGAACACTCTCTAAGGATCCAACCTTATTTTGTCTTCAAAAAAGATAGGAAGGGAACCAGCAGTTAGCGTAATGGCTATGTCGCTGGACTCCCACGTAGTCAACTGCGGTTCGTGTCCCAGACCAGGTAGCTTAAAACTCACGCTGGGCACATGTGCGTGTGTGCCCAAGATCCCGAGAGGAGAATGGAGGAGAAGGGATTGCGGCGTGACCATCCCCCCTGGGGGGTGATTTCTCGCTTTCTGTCTCTATGTCTCTCTCTGTCTGTCTGGTGAACACACGCGCCCTATAGCAAAAACCTCTCCATAAAAAAAAAAAAAAAAAAAAAGGTAGGAAGTCTGTCCTTTTTGTTCACTGATGCATCTCCAATGTCTAGTACAATGCCTATCACAATGGAGGCTCTTTTAAAAATTAATTAATTAATTAATCTCTTTATCTGTTATGATTTTCAAGCTGCCAAGTCCAAGACTCAAACTGTGGTTGGCCATGCAGTAAACCAGCACCTGAACTACCACACCATCTGCTGGCCCCACCAAGGTGGCTCTTAACCATCACAGAAGAGTGCAAGGTCACTGAATGATCCTCTGCTGAGGATGGCATGGGCAGACAATGGAGGTCACAAAGCCCTAGGGAGAGGGGTGAGAGGACAAGACATGTGGCGCCAGTCTCCAGGGAGAATTTATACACACAAACCAAAAGCAAGCCATGCTGATCATCTTCAAACCCAAACAAAGCCATGAGGAAGTCTTTGAAAGTCCAGCCTTTGTGGTTCCAAATGGCAGAGCAGAGACCAACAGGCCGAAATTACAGGCAAAATTTGTCCAATATTAGAAAGACTGTTCTAATAGTTAACAGCCTAACATTGATTAGGAATTGGCCTGGCTGGGCATCTTAAGTCTCCTTATGACTGTGTGTGGGACAAGAGTCCATCCGGCATGGACTGAACAGGCTTCCCCGTCCCGTTCTATCCCAGAGCTTCTTCCATCCCAAACTCCCTGGATGCCCAATCCCTAAAAGACCTGTCCGAAGCCCCAGCTTCAGGAGGTGGTGGAGGAATCATGAAAGCGCCATCCCCAGACACTCCATTCAGTGTCCTTTCTGCTCCACATCAGCTTCTTCACCAAAATGAACACTTTGCTGTTAAGTCTACTCCTGTCCCAGGAAACCTCAAGCTTCTTGCACATGGTGAGGGATTACCAGGGCATATAAAATTGGTTAAAGTGAAAATTCCTCAACCTTCCAGGAGGAGAAAAGCCAGCTCACCTGGATCTCTGCAGCAGATGGCTAAGTTGGGGGCCTGGCTCCGGGGACTTCTCCTGCGGCCGGCCAGTCATGCTGCTCTCATGCTGATGGACAGGCGGGAAGAGGAGACCTGGTTCTGTGGGGACAAGGACACAGAAAAGTCACTTTCTCATCCTTTGCTCCTTGCTTTCCCTCACTGGCCGAGGAGGACACTGCCTGGGAGTTTCTGAGGCTGGCCTCCCCCACTGTTGTGTAACCGGGAACAGGCGGGTGTGTGTTTCACCAGTGTTCCCCTAAACCTACAGCGTGTCAGGCAGGCACTGAGGGCTAGGCCGCGACCACAAATTAGATACATCCTTGTTCCCAAGAAACATTTTAGCAAGTAAGAGGAGGAAGAGAGACAAGAGAAAGTGACAGAGGGGGAAAGGGGGAGAGAGAGGGAGCGAGAGAAATGCAAACACACATGTTCCACTGCAATATAATTTGAGTGAGCGCTGTGATTTCTCCAAGTTCACTCAGCGCCTGTTTGCCCCACAGGGGAGCCTCAGTGGCTTCAGTGCTATGACACAGTGTGTCTCAAGCTACCAGGCTATCAGAAAAGTCATGACGTATTTTCCTACGCGTTCCTATGTAAAAATGCATTATGATTTTCCCGACAACCCAATATTTGTTACAAAACATTATTTTTTAATTTCCAAACCATCACAGGTGAATCATTTTATAAAACAGAACTGAAATGAACTGCCGAAAGAGTGAAATGAAAGGCCATTCATACCAAGTACAAGCCTACCTTTTTATTATTTGATTCAACAGATTATTCGGTCAAGTGGGTGTGAAAGTTTTGAAGGGCTTCCTCTCGATTTCTGTGCTTATCTCGTGGATGGGTAAACCACCCGCAGACCAGCCCCGTCCCCCAAACTGCGGCTGAGTGGCGCGGCTCTGATAACCAGTTACATGCAGCACAGCTCTCCTAATATGTTTGGCTGGCATCTTGGCTCAGAGAGGGAGCCTAGATATAAAAATGATTTTGCATTCACTCTCTGGATTACAAGAAGTTAACCCGGAGAGTCTCTCTCCAGGAAGGAGAACCACAGCAGGGACTTAGGTGAAGTGTGGAGAGAGGGTTCCCTGGAGGGCGGTGTGGCACGCACCTGCGGGGTTCAGGTACGAGAGCTTGAGGTTCATGGAAAGCTGCTCCTGAAGCCCTGTCCGCCCCCACCCTGAACTTCCCAACCCTAACTATGGCAACCCTGGCTGAAGCCACCTCCCTGCATGAGAAGAACAAAGAGTCATCTATTAAAATGGACTGGAACGCTTTAGAAAATAAATCATTTTCAAATGTCAAGAGGGCTGCTAGTGTTCATTCCTACTATTTAATGCTATAAAAATGATTTTTCTAAAAAACGGAGAAATCCTTTGTCTGTGACAGCCAGCTTCCAAGGGGGGAAAAAAAAAGAAAGAAAAAAGCCTTTAAATGCCTAGCCTTAATACTTGAGGGAGGCATTACAAGTTATTTTCACCCATTTGAATGCCTAAGAGAAAGTGCTCCTTCTCCTAAATTCTCAGCTTTTAAGAAATTCTTATTTTAAACTGTAGAAGAAGATAACTCTGCAGAAGCAAACCTTCTCTTTTCAAAGGCTTATTTCGTTTTTGTTTTGTTTGTTTGTTTGTTTTTTTCATGGAAACACACAGACACTCTCACTCCCTGCTTCAAACGCTAAAATCAACTGCAATTTTGGAGTTTGCTGTTCATGAAATTCTGGCGATAAGCACATCACAAACATTCCTATAGCAACAGAATGTTTTTGAAGCAATGTCTGTAATGTGACAAAGATGGCATATCATTATCTCTGACTGTTGGCAAAGAGAAGGTTATGAGGGATAACTGTTTATGCACAGGTCAGTCGGTGCAGTAACCGGCAACCTGAATAGCAGGCCTTACCGACCAGCTAACCCACGGCACGGGGTGGGAAGCAGGAAT